CGTTCACGAACAAAGAAAATATCCAATTCCATATGCTTGGTGCGAGCATGAAGAACAGGGTTGCGAGTGAGAGCCACAGTGCTCATATTATCACAAAGAACATGAGGGACCAAGAAGGGGATATGTAATTCTCGAAGAAGAGATTGGATCCAAAGGATTTCAGCACACGTGAGAGCCAAGCTACGGTATTCAGCCTCAGTACTAGAACGTGCAACAAGTGTCTGCTTCTTGGACCACCAAGAGACAAGGTTGGGGCCAAGGAATATGCTGGAACCAGAAGTGGAGCGCCTGTCATCAGGGTCACACCCGCAGTCAGCATCACAGTAAGCTGTCAATGATAAGGGAGAAGCAGAAGGTGCAGCCTGAAACAATAACCCATGTGAAATAGTCCCCTTTAAGTAGCGTAAGATCCTTTTAACAACTGCCTAATGATCCACTAAGGGTTGAGCCATGAATTGGCAAACTTTATTCACAGCATAGCTTATGTCAGGGCGTGTGATGGTGGCATATTGGAGGGCACCAACAATGGACCTATAATGATGAGGATCTGGGTAATAATTGGAGCCAACCCGAGACAGCTTACAAGTGCTGGACATAGGAGAGGAGATGCCTTTAGCCTCATGCATGGAAGCTCTAGCAAGTAAATCACTGATGTACTTGGATTGAGACAACATTAAGGAATGAGAGGAACTCCTTCGAACCTCAACACCAAGAAAGTATTCCAGATTACCCAAGTCCTTCAAAGCAAACTGAGTATTCAGTTGTGAGATAAGATGTGAAATAAAGGGAAGATCAGTCCCTGTTACTATGATGTCATCAACATAGATGAGCACATAGATGCATCGTGATGTAGAGCAAAGCGTGAACAAGGATCACAGCAACTGGACTTGAAGCCAAAGGAGAGCAAAGAGCTCTTAAGTTTATCAAACCACGCACGTGGGGCCTGTTTGAGCCCATAGAGAGCTTTGTGAAGCTTGCAAACGAGAGCTTTATTGGAATTTTCAAAGCCTGGAGGCTGTACCATGTAGACCTCTTCTTGGAGATCACCATTCAAGAAGGTATTATTGACATCCAATTGTCTAAGAGGCCAGCCATAGGTGAGAGCCAAGGTAAGCACAATCCGAATGGTGACTGGTTTCACTACGGGGCTGAAAGTTTCATTGTAATCAAAGCTGGGTTGTTGATGGAACCCCTTTGCAACAAGCCTTGCTTTATACTTGTTGATGGAGCCATCAATATTCTCTTTAAGTTTGAAAACCCATTTGCAGCCAATAGCAGACCTGTTAGGAGGAAGAGAAACCAAACTCCAAGTATTGTTAGCCAATAATGCATCATAGTCAACTTGCATTGCTGCATACCAAGGAGGACTAGAGATTGCCTGTTTGACAGAGGTAGGCTCAGCATGAGTAAGAAGTGCTTGAGCTCGAGCAAGAGTCTTGGATCTGGTTTGTATAGAATGACCAGAAGAAGTAGGATGGACAGTAGTGGAGGGCAGAAAGTCAGAATGGGAAGACTCAGGAGAAGAAGATGAGGAAGAGGCAGAAGAATGAGGGAATGAAGAGGGGACAGGAGACTCAGGAACAGGAGAAGACACAGGCATATGTGGAGAACCGGTTGGAGAGGTGCTGGAAGTTGAGGAACAACGTTCTGAAGGGGAAGAAGTACTGTCACCATGATGCACAGTAGCAGGAGGACTAGGTGGAGAAAGAGGGTGATGAATAAACATGGGAATGGAATGAGAAGTATTTGGTGTGACAGTGGCAGAATTGGAGGACCATGACTGAGCATATGGAAAACGAAATTCATTGAAAATAACATCTTTTGAAATGAAGGTTTTGCCATCTTGATTCTGACAAATATATCCCTTATGGTTGGAAGAATATCCTAGGAAAACACACTCTTGGGATCTGAATTCAAGCTTGTGCTTATTGTAGGGTCTTAAAAATGGAAAGCAAGCACAGCCAAATACTTTAAGGAATCTATAGTCAGGCTCAGTGTGATACAGTTTAACAAAGGGTACCTCAAAGTTCAATGAAGCAGTAGGCAGACGATTAATGAGAAATGTGGCTGAAGTAAAGGCATAATCCCAAAATTTCATAGGAAGAGAGCCATGAGAAAGGAGGGTTAAACCAGTTTCCACAATATGCCTATGTTTTCTTTCAACTACACCATTTTGGTGACTTGTATGTGGACAAGTGACTCTATGTAAAATTCCATGGAGTTGTAAATAGTGAGTAAAGGGTCTAAACTCCCCACCCCAATCTGTTTGTATTGCTTTAATTGAAGCTTGAAATTGGGTGGTCACCATTATATGAAACTGTTTAAAGATATTAATTGCATCAGATTTTTGTTGGATAGGATACAGCCAAGAGAATCTTGTATGAGCATCAACAAAAGCAATGTAATAGGAGTTTCGAAGAGTAGATTTAATGGGAGCTGGTCCCCAAAGGTCACTGTAAATTAACTCAAAAGGAGAATGATATATAGTTTGAGAAGAGGGGGAATGAAGTCTGTGAGCTTTACCAAGACAACAAGAGGAACAGAAATCCCATACATTTTTATTAGTAAATGGAATCTGATAGGTATCAGAGATAATAGACAGCGGAATTTAAAGAAGTAAATGTATTTATAGTATTGATATCAACTCAGATTCAAACTATTAACTCCAACAGTATTCTTCAATGGCAATTACAAGTATGAAAATGAAAACAACAGTGAGACAATTACAAAGCCACAACGATTACAAATAACTACTACCCAGAACACTTAGAGAGGTTCTGGTTCTCTCCCTAATCACCCAATAGGATGCCCAAAAGTCCCAAGTTCCAAGAATCCCTCACTCCCATGCGCCTCCTCCTATTTGTAACAAACTTGTAACAACTTCGTGCTACACGCGTGACCACTCTCTTGCTGTTATTGCTTTGTTGTCCTTGCTGTCCGTGTGACTAATTTTCTTCAGTAGTTGCTGCTAACTCACCTTGTCCATGTGGGACTACTCTGCTCTTTCTCCTCTCATATATTTTCCCAAATCTGCCCTTGTTGATTGTATCAATACTCCCTCCCATTTTAACCACCTTGTCCTCAAGGTGGAACCAAGGAAACTGATTATGTAGCACTGAAAATTCCTCCCAGGTATTCTCAAAAGAAGGCAATTGTTTCCATTTAATCAGTACCTCTAAATTCCCTTGGGAGCTGTACCTCCATTGCAAAACCTCCTCTGGTTCAATTTGCAACTCCCATTCAGCTGATAAAATGGGTGGTAATGGTTGGACAATTGTAGCAGGTGCGATGGCCTTCTTCAATAAGGAAACATGAAACACCGGATGCACTCTGCAATCTGGAGGAAGTTCCAACTTGTAAGCTACTTCTCCAACTCTAGTGAGAATTTTGTAAGGGCCATAAAATCGTGGGCTCAACTTCTCATTAATCTTCCGGGCCAATGACTTTAAACGATACGGTTGGATCCTTAAATAGACCATGTCGCCTACTTCAAATGCTAATTCTCTCCTCTGTTTGTTGGCTTGAACCCTCATTCTGTTTTGGGCGAGTACCAAATGGTGGTGCAACTCATCAAGGACAGCATCTCTTTCCTGTAGCATTGCTGAAACCTCTTCTACTGCAGTCTGCTGGTGGCCTTCCCGAAACAGACTTGGTGGTTCACAGCCATATAAGGCTTTGAACGGTGTCATACCAGTAGACTCCTTATAGGAAGTATTAAACCAGAATTCAGCCCAATGCAACCATTTGGGCCATTGTTTTGGCTTTGGGCTGCAGAAACACCGCAAATATGATTCCAAACATCTGTTGACAACCTCAGTCTGCCCATTTGATTGAGGATGGTAGGCAGTGGTGTAGCATAAATTAGAGCCAGCCATCTTGAACAACTCAGACCAAAAGGTGCTGAGGAAAACTCTGTCACGATCAGACACTATTGTTTTGGGGAACCCATGTAATTTTACTATTTCTCGAATAAAAACTTCAGCAACTTGTTTGGCCGAGTAGGGATGACAGATTGCTATAAAATGGGCATACTTGGTCATCCTATCAACCACTACAAATATGGTATCCACCTCAAATGCCTTGGGCAATCCTCCCACGAAGTCCATAGAGATATCAGCCCAAACTTGGGTGGGAATGGGTAATGGCTGCAGCAGCCCTGCAGGAGATAGGTTCTGAATTTTATGTTGTTGGCAGATATGACATGCTGCCACATACTCCTTAATTTGTTTCATCATCCCTTCCCAAAACACCACTCCTGCAATTCTTTTATAAGTTCTCAATGCCCCTGAATGTCCTCCCACCTGTGAATCATGGAATTCCCTTAGTATTGAGGGAATCCATTTGGACAGCTTTGGAATTACTAATCTGCCATTGAACATTAGTCTCCCACCACATAGTTCAAATCCCTTGTGAGCCGTGGAATCAAGCAAAAGATCTTGTATGATAGTGCGCAAACGTGGATCAGCCTGTATCTCTTTATCCAAATCTGTGAGCTGCGTTAATTCCACATGTGATATGGCAGAAAATTGCATCTGCCTTGAAAGTGCATCAGCCACCTTATTTTCCTTCCCCGGCTGATAAATTATCTCGAAATCGAACCCCAACAGCTTTGAGGCCCACTTCTGCTGTTCTTCTCCTAATATTTTCTGATCAGTGAGGAATTTAAGACTCTTCTGGTCAGTCTTTACCAAAAAATGCCTACCCATTAAATAGTGCCTCCATTTTTTAATTGCAAAAACAATAGCCATCAGTTCCTTTTCATATACTGACTTGTTTAAAGCCCTTTGAGAAAATCCCTGGCTAATGAAGGCAATTGGCCTATCCTCCTGCGTTAAGACAGCCCCTATCCCTTTTCCAGAGGCATCTGTGACTACAGTAAACTGCTTATGAAAATTAGGCAAGGCCAAAACAGGTACTGAACTCATGTTTTTTTTTTAATTTGTCATATGCCTCCTGTGCTTCCGGACTCCACTTGAAATTATCTTTTTTCAATAACTCAGTTAGAGGCTTGCAATCTTCCCGTAATTCTGCACAAACTTTCTATAATAACCAGTGAGGCCTAAAACTCCTCTTAATCCCTTGATGTTCGAAGGTCTGGGCCACTTTTCCATAGCCTCAATTTTTTTGGGATCGGCCATAACTCCTGCACCTGAGATTATGTGGCCCAAATACTCCACCTGACGCTGCCCAAAACAACACTTCTTTTTATTCAGAACCAACTGGTGCTGTCGCAGGGCCTCCATCACCTTCCTAAGGTGTGATATGTGCTCCTGATCACTTTGACTGTATATTAAAATATCATCAAAAATACTAAAGAAAACTTTCTAAGAAAGGGCCTCAACACCTCATTCATGAGGGCTTGAAAGGTGGATGGAGCGTTGGTAAGGCCGAATGGCATTACCATATACTCATAATGACCCTCATGGGTCTTAAATGCAGTTTTAGGAATATCTTCTTCTCTCATACTAATTTGATTAAAACCAGACTTCAAGTCCAGTTTGGTAAAAATCTTAGACCCACCCAATTCATCTAAAAGTTCCTCAATTACAGGCATGGGGAACTTATCAGGTACAATATGCTTATTTAATGCTCTATAGTCAACACACACACGCCAACTACCATTTTTTTTTTTAACAAGAATTACAGGACTAGCATATGGGCTCACACTATGTCTAATCCATCCATTATCCAGCAATTCAGATACTAATTTTTCTATCTCAGTTTTCTGGTATGGTGGGTACCTGTAGGGACGACTATTAGCAATCTGACTACCTGGTTTCAGAACGATGGCATGGTCTTGAGCTCTCCTTGGGGGTAGGCCTTTTGGTTCACGAAATAACTCTTGGAACTCCTCCAATAGCTCATCCAGCTCCTGCCGTGACTCGGTTGGCTCTTCCGCTTGAGGTTCTCTTTGTTCAATAAGAAATCCTGTTCCCCCATCGTTTATTGCCTTCACAATAGTCTTCAAGGACGCCACTGCTCTAGATAAAGAAGGATCTCCCCGAAGCAGCACCTCATTGCCCCCATTTTCAAACTTAAGAGTCATCTCCTTGAAATTAGCCTTGATTTCACCCAATCCCGTCAGCCATTCCAACCCCAAAACCACGTCAGTGCCTCCTAAATCGAACAGATGAAAATCTTGGCATATGTTATGTCCTTGCAACTCCATGGGTACTTTTCTGCACACCCCGTGACACGCCACCCTATGTCCGTTGCCAACCTCCACCCAAAATCGAGGTGTATCATCAACCAGCAGCCGCAGTCTGCTTGCTACATCTTTGCTAACAAAGTTATGAGATGCCCCACAATCGATTAAGGTCACCACCGGTTCCTTCTCGATTTGGCCCCATAGCTTCAGGGTTCGACTCGAGGACAGCCCCAACAGACTATGCATGGAGATTTGAAGAGCTTCCCCAACCTCCTGCTGGTCCGCTGCTGTCGTACTTTCCCTTGCTACCATTTGTTTGTCTTCCTCAACTTCATCGTCATCTATGATGAGTACTTGTAACTGACGCACCTTACATCGATGATTAGGGTTCCATCGCTCTTCACATTTGAAACAGAGTCCCAAACGAGATCGCTCCTGCAACTGACCCTGAGGTAGCCGCCGTCCATTGTTCCGACTACCGCTGCTGTCTTGGCTCTCCAACAGACGAGAACTTCCCGTCGATGAATTTTGGGAGCTAGGGTTCGTTTTAGGAGCAATAGATGAAGTTTCCAGCACGTTTGATTTTGTTCCAGCGTTCAAATTGCCTGAACCCGTATTGATGGGCCGGGTCGAATTAAAGCCCGCTCCACTTCTTCCAGTTTGGGCCCACTTATTCGCTCCTACACCTTGCCCCAAGCCCATTCGTCCCATTCCTTCAGTAGCCCAAGCGATATTCCTCCGTTCAATCTTTGTTGCCATCTTCATCATCTCTGAGAGTTTGTTCATGGGGTGCATAAGCAATTCCTCCCTAATACTGTCAGTCAATCCATTCAGCCAAGCTCCTCTAAGAACCTCTTCATCTTCGAATTTCAAGCGGCTCACAACCTGCTCGAAGGTCACTCTAAAATCAGCCACGCTTCCCACCTGCTTCAATGTAAACAGAGAACGATAGGGGTTATCGTCTAGCTCTGGTTGAAATCGACTCAAAACGTCCGTCCTGAAATTCACCCAAGTAGCGTTCGAATTATTAATTTCCCACCATTGGAACCAGTTTAACGCTTCCCCTTCCATCACCAAAAGCACCGCCGAGAGTTTTTCTGTATCAGTCAAACCGTTAACTCGAAAATACCGCTCTACTTTGTTTAACCACCCAAAAACGTCCTCACCGGAAAACACAGGTAACTCTAATTTTCTTTCTTGCGCAGTAACGTTGTTCCCACCATTTCCTCCGTTCCCTCCGTTTCCTGCTGACGAACCCGTCCCTTCATGTTGGGTTGGCCCTGCTGGTCTGGAACTTAGCAACGCATCCAATTTCCTCAGTATCTCGATCTGACCTTCTTCAGTGCGACGCACCCTCTCTGACAATTCGTCGAATCTAGCCTCCATACTTCTCGTCACAACCATACAAGCTCTCCCTGGATTTAGAAGAGCTCTGATACCAATTGATAGGTATCAGAGATAATAGACAGCGGAATTTAAAGAAGTAAATGTATTTATAGTATTGATATCAACTCAGATTCAAACTATTAACTCCAACAGTATTCTTCAATGGCAATTACAAGTATGAAAATGAAAACAACAGTGAGACAATTACAAAGCCACAACGATTACAAATAACTACTACCCAGAACACTTAGAGAGGTTCTGGTTCTCTCCCTAATCACCCAATAGGATGCCCAAAAGTCCCAAGTTCCAAGAATCCCTCACTCCCATGCGCCTCCTCCTATTTGTAACAAACTTGTAACAACTTCGTGCTACACGCGTGACCACTCTCTTGCTGTTATTGCTTTGTTGTCCTTGCTGTCCGTGTGACTAATTTTCTTCAGTAGTTGCTGCTAACTCACCTTGTCCATGTGGGACTACTCTGCTCTTTCTCCTCTCATATATTTTCCCAAATCTGCCCTTGTTGATTGTATCAGAATCTTACAAGTAGTAAGTACATTCTTTAAAGCAATCTCATGAGGATGTCCAAGACGACAATGCCATAAGGAGTAGGCAGTGTTAGACACTGAACTAGGCAGATTACAAGATTGAACAGTATTGGAGGCTAAACTAGATTGATTACAAGTATAGAGCTGTGAGCTAAAACACTTTGAAGACAATGACACTTGAGTAGAAGGCTTGACAGTTGTGGAAGCTTTAGGCAGACATATACTTGGAAATGAATACAAGCCATCCTTGTTGACAGTACCTTCTAGGAGAGTTTTATTGGACTCCTGCGATTTCACAAAACACTTAGAAGGGTGAAACTCAAAATATACATTGTTATCATTAGCAAATTGGCTAACACTTAATAAGTTCTTCGCTATTGAAGGTACAAGAAGCAGATTTTCAAGACTTAATTCAGTTTGAGGTTCTAATGGAGACAAAAATTTGGATGAACCAATGGCAAGAATTGGCAAACCTTGTCCATTACCAATGACAATCTGATCTGTACCAGTAAGCTGTTGGCTTTGAAGGAGATTAGCTGGATTTGCAGTAACATGGTGGCTTGCACCTGAATCAGGATACCACTCGATGGTAGGTGCAGATACTGGATGAGGCAGCAATCCAGGTTGAGAAGCAATCAAGGCATGAGGAGCCTGATTTGCTTGCTGGCGAATATATTGATAGGGACGCTGTTATGGTGAAGCAAAATATTGCATCTCAGTGGTATTTGGAGGAGGAATATTAGGTATGAACCGTTCATCGAACCTATACCAGCAGGAACGAACATCATGCCCGAACCTATAGCATAGCTGACAATGAACATTGGAACGAGGTCCACGTCCTCTTCCTCTATTATTGCGACCTCCATTCCTTCCTCGTCCTCTATATCCAGCATTAGGAGAACCAGAAAACTGAGAATCTGTAGTCTGGTTCATACTCTGTTTTTCGTTCAGTAAAACAGAGGTTAACAAAGGATTCTTCTCCGATGGATTTTGTGTCACAGCAACGTTCACAGAGGCTGGATTGGTCAGTAGAGACTCGTTTTGCTTCAACAAAAGTTGTTCGAAAGCCATCAACTCAACTGCAATATCATCTACACCATACTCTCTCTCACGTCCATAGACGTTTAGAACGAACAAGTTATAGTCCGATGGCAAGCCTTCGAGTATATACTCGATCTGATCTTCGATTTAGACTGGACTATTTATTGCTTTCAACGAATGACAGAGAGTTTTGATTCTAGACAAATACTCAGGAATAGTTTTGGCACCTTTCTTCAGCGTTCGAAGTTCAGATCTAAGATTTCTAGATCTGGACTTCATCATTCCTTGAAATAGCTTGTGGATCTTGTCCCACGCTTCATGAGAGTGTTTAACTCCTAGAATTTCGTTCACTACAGACTCAGATATTGTGGAAAGTAACCAAGTCAGTAGCATCTGATCTTGAGTAAGCCACGTTGTGTACTCTGGATTCACAGATTCTGCATCACGATCTTCCTCTGCGAGAAACTTCAGTGGAATTCTTGGATTAACTAGAAACTTCTGAAGTTGATGTGTGGTTATTATTGACTCAACGATCTGTGTCCAGAACAAGAAATTGTCCTCAGTCAGTTTAACAGATATCTGATAGTTGAAAAGATTCGGCACTTTCTCCATTGAAGAAGTGTTGTTTGAGCTGTGATGTGTAGGAGAGTTTGACGTTGTGGAAGCCATGAATGAAGTAAGAAATGGATCAGGCCCTCAGGATGAGAGCTCTGATACCATATCAGAGATCAAGTGAAAGAGAAAGAGTGAGAGTGAAAAAGAGAGCCATTGGCTTTACTGAGTGTTTGATATTTTTCATAATGACTAAATACAAAGGGAGAGCTCTATATATAGAGCTCAGAGATGATGAGTCAACAGCTAACAATCCAAAACTAACTAACTGAGCTTATAACAATAAGCCTAATAGAAAGCCTAGAAGGAATACACTACAACCAGATTTATAGTAACAATAATGCAGCTAAATACAACTGCACAAACAGTAAGCTTAAGCTATATTCTAATAATTCATAATAAATTTATTATGTTTTTCTTCTATTGCATCAAAACCTAAAGAATTAACGAGTTGGCTGACGAAACCAGTGACATACTCAAAGATACTGCTACAAATTTGAACCCCTGTAATTGCCACCTCCCTTTTCTATATTGACTACAACTAATAAGAAACATGGAAAATGATCAAAATATTGCAATTTAAAAAGTGATAATGAATTAATGTAAGTACTGAGTATACTGATGCTGACATATAATCATTTTTCATAGAAAATCAATGTACATGTATTCTGAGGATCGTATTTATTATCATGATCACATTAGAATTAAACATTTTCTTAACCACACTCCCCCCTTCCCGCCCCCAAAACAGAAAAATGAATTAAGCATAATGTTTTGGTTGAAATATGTAGGTGAAAATTTACAAAAAAATAAAATAAAATAGAGTAAACTCCTTCTTGGTCTCTAACAAAAAACACGGTCCTCACTTTAGTCCCTTATAAAAACAAAATTTGTCGCTTGGTCCCTATGAAATTCAAAGTGGACCCATTTTAGTCATTTTGAGGGACTAATGTGGGTGTTTTTTAAATTTGTGAGGGGCCACGATTTTAACTAAATGAGTCTACTTTGAATTTCTTAGAGACCTCGGGACTAATTATTTTTTGTAAGGGACTAAAGTGGGAACTGTATTTTTTATTAGGGACCCAAAAAGAGCTTTACTCTAAAATATATATGTAGGTGAAAAGAAATCTACGTCCTTTTACATGGAGAGGGAGTAGTCTATAAATTTATGGTAGAGAAGGTTCCCAAAATTTGTTATTAATAAATGACCTCATTCATCATTTACATGCCTTTCTGGGTTGATTGCTGTTAAAAATAATTTGGTGAACTAGTGTTATGTGGGACAAGGTCTTGGAGATGACTCACTCAATGTCCTATGGTGAGGTCTGTGAGTGGCCTTTTTTGGGGTGGGAAGCAAGCAATATTGCATGAGGTTACTTATTATTTATTAAAAAGATTATGTGCCTCCGCTTCCAAAATCCAGCAATGCAAGCAAATTGTGAATGGGTAATTATATTTTGTCTGGTTTTGAAACTACATAAAATGGTTATTATCTTTTATGTGCCTCGCAGGAGTTATCCTACAGAAAAGGTGATTATCTTTTATTTGGTTCTGAAACTAGTGGCCTGCCACCTGAAGCCTTGTTAGACTGCAAAACTGAACCATTTGGTGGCGGGACTGTCAGAATTCCAATGGTTGAAACTTACGTCAGATGTTTGAATCTATCTGTAAGTGTTGGCATAGCCTTGTATGAAGCTTCTAGACAACTCAACTACGAGCCACTTCAGATATACTCGCAAAGCTGTATTGATAGAGAGGAATCATTTATTACTGAAGACGATTTTGCTTGATCATCATATTTATTTTATTTAACACTGAAGGAGAACACTCCTTCGAATTATCTTAGTTAATTGTGCTTGTCGCATCATGACCAGGGTCATAGGCGTAAATTGAGATACAAAAAGTGAGCCCAAATCTGGATCCAACTCCATATTAAACTTCTTATAACAGGATTTTCTCGAGATTATATCAGACTACCGATACCGATCCAAATGTGATCTAAGGGTTGTGCCATTTGTTGTGGAGATTTACACTTTTCCAACTTCTAATTAATGTAATCACTGTAATGGAACATTGGGAATAAATTGGTCAAAGAATTACATATCGGCCTTTTGAATGCTTGAACGTTGTGTGGAGATTCCAGGGGATGTATTAGATTGAAATTTTAAAGGATTTTAATAGATTGTTTTTGGACAAAAAAATATGTTGGTGTTCTATTAGGATTTTAATGGATTGAAAAAAAGTCACGCGGTATTCGATTAGGATTTTAAAGGATTATTTTAAAATTCATCTAAATACATTGGTATTCAATCAGGATTTTAAACAATGGAATCACAATCTTGTGGTATTCAAAAATTCGATGATTTTAATGAATTTTCTATTGGTGTGGATTTCGTGAGACTTTTTAATGAAAAATATAAATAGGATGTCTCTCTCACAATCTTACCCTAACCCGGAGGATTTCTTGATATTCTTCTATTGCAGTATTTTTTTTTCTTTTGGCAGGTTGACTGCTTAAAATTGGGTTTTGCAATGGGAGTTTCGTCAAAACTAAAAAAAAAACGTTTTTGAGCGATTTTCATCACAAAACAATCCAGAAACAACGAATCAACGAGATTTTAATATAATCTATATAAAAAATAACATATTTTTGAATCATTTTTGAGAAATTTTGAAAGTTTAAAAAGTGATTTTTCAATCTATGGGTCGCGATTTTTCTTGGCACAAAAACGTGTGATTTTTGTATTAAAAACAACATAAAACGTTGAAAAAATAACAGGGGAGCTAAAACCCTCAAACCAA